ATATAAGATACCAAAGAGGAAAGGTAAACAGACAGGAGGATTTTCTAGATTTTATTCTACCAAAGATCTAGAAGATGACAGCAACTTGGAAGAGTGACAATGAGAATATTCACAATCTAACACAGAAAAGTGGCACAAATAAATGCAATGACTCAAGTTATATTAAAACACCAAATATACTATTTCACTGCAGAGAAAATACAGAAAGAGCAAAAAGTGCAGCAAGGTAGAATCAACAGATTTACAATCACTTAAAATCCTAGAAGAAACCTTCAAGTAGAACTGAGGACAAGTATAAAAAAAATGAATACACAGGAATAAAATAAGAAGCATAGGTAAAAATGACATATAAAGAGCAAAAAAGGGACAACACAAATAACAAAGAGCACTTAAAACCGTTAACACACTGCTGTTAAGTGAAAGGTATTAAGAGCTGCCATCAAGGCACTTGAATCTTCCAGCGTCTTTTTTCCCTCGTCTTCACTCAAGGTGGGGCAGCAACCAGACAGCCACCAGCAGCGATACCACAGTCCAAGCTCACACCGGAGCAGGAGATCACAGGAAAACAGGTACACAGATAATCCAATGGGTCAAAAGAAACACGCTCCCTAGCAGTTACTAAATAAACCAGAGCATACGAGCCATAGTTGTATTTATTTTGAGAATTCATCTGAGGTAGATGAAATTCTATGAGATAAAACAGGTAAAGACAGTTCTCGTCTTCAAAGGGTGGAAAGAGCACTTAATTTAGTTTTCTTAACTTAATACTGAAAAAAAGCAATTTGAAAGTACCTAAAGAAAAAGAAGTCGATATGTAACAGCCAACATAGTTCAATCAGAAGCAAAGCACAACTAATCAATTAAATTATCCTTCATAACAGAATAACAGGCTTTAAGAACAGGAAAGAAACAACAGGTATCATAACTTGATGTCAACAAAACATCTGGCAGTCTCGCATTCTCATAAATAAGCAGAGGCAACATGGTCTCCATGAGATCTCTAAGTAAATGCAAAACTGGTCTTGGAGCAGTGCTCAACTGTAGTCACGACTGACTCGCTGCCAAACGAAGCCTACACCAACTCCCAGTCCTCACCTGGGCCCACTGTTACTATTTTCTAAAATTACTTCAGTACTGTAAAAATGTGGTTAAATATTTACAGGAGAAAATATGTCAGTGGGGCTCCAAGCATAATGCAAAATAAACTTAGACAGGATGCAACATTTTGTTGCCTGACATAGATTTTAGCTTCAGTAATTTTTTAAAGTTTGTAAGAAAAAGGCTTGGAAGAGACATAAAATACTGATATTTTACAGGTGAATGCAAGGTAAGACACTGATGTAAATCTAAAGTTATGTTAACAAATAGGACACAGTGCCCCAAGCACATTCTGAGGTAACATATTTGTTAATGAATGTGTACATTTGCAAACTTGAAGATTTTTAAATAGCCAGAATACTGCATTCTTCTCTCTCCAATATCGTTTCATGACACCCTCCCTCTCACTTCTTTGGAGTCTAGAAGTGAGGACTTGGTCATTGCTAAAATGTACTGTTTTAATAAGGAGTTGGCATGTTTCTTCCTTGTGGTTATTTTGTGCATGTCATTATTTGGAGAGACAAACCTACTAAATATAGAAAACTTTAATGATATCATAATTTATAAACGTACTTAAACTGTTAAAAACAGCAAGAGTAAGCTATGGAAGAGAAAGAAATTGATTTCATGACATGGTCTGTCCTTTCACCTAGGCTGTTCCTGGTTTTTTGGGTTTTTTTGTTTGTTTGTTCTCCTCTTCTTCCTTGCTCTGAACACATTGCAAATTTACAGCCTGGCATTGCTATTTTGGCAACCAATTACAAAAACTGTCACACCTGGCTATGCCAAAATGAAAACAGAACTCTGCTTGCTTGTTTTTTAATGATCTTATTAGGTGCATTTGCTCTCTAAGTTTGCTGGTTGATGCTTTGCTTTCCTCTTGCTTTCCACTTTCAACATCAGAAGGCAAGCACTGCTTGAAAAAAAAACACGCTCCCTTCTCCATCCTCACCAAAGTGGAATTAAAAACAAAAATCCCCAAAGTAACAAAAAGCACCACCCTGCCAAAACGGCACCCGAAAACGGCAGGTTTGCTCTTTATCTGGCTGAACAATACTTTGCCTTCCACACAGCTGTTCAAACACCATTAACACACTGAGCGCGTCGCTACCACACAAAAGGCTGGAGCAGTTTCTGACCCATGGCAACACGTCTGCATTTTTCCTTCTCAAACACAACTTCCGATGGGAAGATCTGCACTGCCCTAAAAACACACACCATTGCTATTTCCAGCACAGGAAACACACAGTTAGCTGCAGCATGGGGAAGCTGCAAGTTTTAAACTCCTATTTCCGAGGCCTTCACAGACTGAATCTGCTGGTACCACTTTGAGGCTGGAGAACAGCAGAAGCAGCCAAGCTGCCTAGCGCGACGCTCTGCCTGCACCTCAGCGGCTCTCTGAGCCGCAGCCCCTTCTTGCTCCAGCTGCTCCGTGTTTTCCCTCGGGCTCCCAGCTCCTACGGTTACAGCAAACAAGCTGGCAGGGGCCCGCAGGAGCGAGGCCGCAGGGCAGACAGCAGCACCTCTTCCTTTGCTAAAAGGTTCTAGAGGCACAAAAATCTTGTTAGGATATGTCCTTGCGAAGCAGCTCCTTTTTACTGGCACTCAACAAAATTAACTGCAATGAAGTAGTCTCAGGGTACGACCGAAAATAATTTCAGTTTACAGCTTGCATCTAGAACTTTTAAGATTATAGACTGCTTATAAATATGTATGTCATATGTAGCAGTTCCAAGGCAGTTTACTGCCATATTTACATCTTCACATCTACCTGCACAAAAACTAATTTTTACTGTCACTCGTCTCTGGCATTTCGGCATGAAGTAATGAGAACTCTGTGAGTATTCAAAATTAGTCAGACCATCAAATATTTTCTGGCTTGCTTTCAATTCTTCTCCCTTATTTCCTCCATATTCTGTTTGCCCTTTTGATTCAGCATTGGGCTGACAGCCTCAGAGAACAAAGGACTCCTTCCTACTTAAAGCAGCTAATTGGAAAGCACTACTGATTTCTTTTTATTTATTTAATATTCTTACAGGTGGGGTTTTTAATCTTTCTCACATGTGCACAATTTTTCACTTAATAGATACTGGAAAAGTGGATGCTTTTTTATTGTTACATGGTATCATTAAATCCTTTTGTAACTCTCTAAAAAGTAATTTATGATTTGCACATTTAGTCTAAAACTCTACACAACCCCATTGATACACCTTCTCCACTATGAAAAATGATCATTTAGTCCCATCTTTTATTTCCTATCCTTCAACTTACTGATTCAGAAAGACCACAACGAATCGGAAAAAACAGTCTGAACAGTCTGGAACTAATGAAAAGATGAGGAGAAACAAGAACGATAAGAGGTCTTAAAAAAATACAAGGAAAGATTAAAGAAATCGAAATTATTTGATCTCTAGAAAGAAAGGTAAAAGACAGCACGATAAGGTCCAATTAGTTTTAGGTAGCTGCAGAGAATAAGGGAATAAGTCATTTTCCATATATTTTTGGCACAGGACAAAAGAAATATTTCATTTAAATTGCTACAAGGGAGATGCCTATCAGATACTTGAGGAAATACCCTTAATGGCAGAACGGCTGAGTACGGATGAGATCACCTTGGGAAACAGTGCAGATATTCATCAGCAAGTTAGACAAGCGTCTGTCAGGAATGATTTGTGGAGCTGATCCTGCCTTTGGGAAGCAGGATGGAACAAGCTACCTCTCAAGGTCCTTCCTACCACAATACTGCCAAAAACAAACGATCCCCATGGCTTGGCTGACTCCAGGCAATTCACGTTGCTTTTTGGCACCTGACTAGACCCCGCGCGCGCGGACCTGCCGCACGGAAGGAAGGCCCGTTACGGACAGGCCCTTAGTCACTCACTTGATCTCACTGACAGGCACCTTCCGCTGCGCCAGCTGCTCCACCATGCCTTTTTCTTCCGAAGGAAGCAGGACTAACAAAGCTTCACCACCTTCTTTGTATCTGATCAAACACAACAAAAAAGACATTAAGTAAACATGCCAAAAATACACATCTTTTTGTGGAAATTTTCAATAAGCAATGAGAATTTACACTCGCTACCTTAGAAGCAGCCCAAATAGCAGACAATAATCCTTACTTTACACAAAGGGAAAGGAAGAGGTAAACCAATTAAGTGATTTGCCAACACTTGTATTGATTTCAAAACTATAAATATATAGCATAAAATCATAGAATCATTATGGTTGGAAAAGACCTTTGAAATCATCAAGTCCAACCATTAACTCATCACCACCATGCTGCCCAAACCATGTCCCTCAGTGCATGTATATAAATATATAACTACATATAAACATTGAATGCCAGGAGCTAAGATACAGACTCAGATTAGCAGTTCTTAATTCTTCTGTGCATTCAGAAGATTTCTGTGGTAATTGAGGGCACTTAAAGCTTACAATATGAGCAGATAGAGCTATTTGGCTGCACACACTATCAACGGGCAACTCTTCCTAACACTTGGCTACAACTGGTTTTCATTTGCACGTCCTTCAACTGAAAGGAAGTAAAGGCTAAGGATTAAATGCTTTCATCCCAAATAACTTCTACTTGTATCTTTAAAAAAAAGGCACTACTAAAAGAAAAGCATAAAATCACCTTTTTTTTTCCCCAAAAGAAAAAAATACAGAGATTGATTCCATAAAAAATATACCTTGCACTCTCTCACCATTGGTTTTAACAGCTGTATCAAACCTGGATTGACAGTTACTCAGATCTATGCTCAGAAAAAAAAAAACTTCTATTTTGTTCTTAAAGCATTTTTTCTTATAACAAAGAGCCAGTCACTATTTTTGTTGATCTTCGTAAATTGAAGAAGTTCATGGAGAACAAATTACTCAACAGCACTAGCAAACAAACAGTAAACCTTACTACTACAAGAGTGGTACAATGATGAATTTGCTTGTCTGCATTATCTTAGCCTACATTTATTGCGATTCATTCCTCTTCTACACATTTAAGAATTACCCTTTCGAGTTATTAGCAAGTTAACGGGTCAATAGAAAGGCATTGCATAGAGTCCTCATTGCATAAAAGCAACCCAATTAAATTTAACTTTACAAATGTGCCAAAACAGGACAGAATTCAATGCAGCAATTTGGGGGATAAACCAGAGCAAGACAGAAATCAGGCACCCTCCAGAGCAGCAGTAAGCCAGCAGAGCTGCTCACAGCAGCACCGGGAGGAGCAGACAAAACTACTTGCACCATTCACAGTCAGAGCTTTTGGAACAAATTCCTCATTATATTATTATTCAAGTGCTATTTTAAATCAAATTTATTTAGTACCTTACCAGACCTTTGGTTTTGTTCCTATTCCGGTCATATTTTCTTTTTCCTCATATGCTGATAAAACTTTTCTATTTCAAACATATCTCTGTATCCTTTCTGTTTTCTATATAATATTTGACTTGTTCGCTCTATTTATTCCATTATTAATCTATTTCTGGATCAATACTTCTCACTCTGCCATCTTCTCCCTCTGTCCATCCTTTATCCATTCATTTCTTGCCCTTCCATAAATCTTTGGCTTCTTTTACTCCATCCCACATTTCCAGTTGGATCTGTGCTCCAATTGCATTAACTCTTCCCCATCAAGAGAACCAGGGAAAGGAGCCTATATAAAAGCTATAAAATTTCAGTAGAAAGATGGGAGATGCTATTACTTTGTCTTCGGGTTAGAAACAACCAAGAAAATAAACCTGGTCCAAGGCAGGTCTCCCTATCAAGGGGATATATGGGATTCTTTCCAATAAAAACTCAGCAGTGACAGCATAAAAGACCAATCCAATCTTTGTGAAGGGAGGAGCAGATAAAAATGCCATTTAGGGAAATACTGGAGCTAAGGCTGTTTGGCTTAAGGTTTAGGTGGAGGCCGGAGAGGGGAAGGACTGAGGCACCCCAGATGGGAGCTGTATCACTAACAAAAATCACTCGAGAGGGAACGTGGGGAGACCACATTCCTCAAAGCCTCAACCGCTACCACTTGGCCAAAGCTGCACTGCAGAGCTGTTTGCAAACTACAGGCGTCAGCTAGCAAGCAGCAACCAAAGCTGCAGTAAAAACAGTCTGACGGTTTTCATTACAGCTCCCTGCTTTCATTGGATGTATGTGCAAAACCACAATAAAATGCTCTTGAGCCCATTGAGCTGGGGATTGTTTTCTAAAGATAATTCTAGGAAAAAATGCCTTTTTTTAATTCTTATAAATGTTTTTTGTCACCAAATTTTAACACTGCCATTTTAGATTAGGAAATCTGACAAGAAAAATCAAAACTCTCGTCTTTGTCACATGCCAACACTATGACAATTTATCAAAATATGGCTTTGATAAGCTCTTAAATTAGTAGACCTACAACACTGTTGATGCAGAAATATAACCCTGCAGAATAGTTCTGAGCAAGTCCTAAAGCAACCTGTAGGCTCAGGCTGGGGCAATCTGTCTTTGGCAACAGTGTAAGGGACCATAAGTCACTGCTGACAAAACATTCAATAAATATTCTGGCCCTTTAGTATAGAGTTGGACTGTCTTATTCATACAGGCCAACGCTTTAAGACAACTCTGTATTTTAACATAGCCAAATTCCAAACGCTTTTTCAATAAAATAATTGCATGGCACATACTGCCCTGTCTGAAGAGGCAGTGGAATCCTGGAAAACAATGGAGCCAAAAAGGACTTGGAATTTTATGGCAAAAATTGATGGTTGCAGCTCCAGGGCAGAAAAATATTCATCGAATGAACTTTAACTCCCGAAGGAAATTAGAAGGAAATTATTATCTTGCCTACCCAAAGCTTGTGTCCGACATGAGAACAGAGATGGCATTGCTGCCATTAATGGTCTCTTAAATTCATTCTATACAGTAACATACAATTCTGCTTTTCTGTTCAAAAATAGATGTTATAGCAGTAAGAATTCAGAAAAGATCTATGAGAATGATCTATTATCTGGAAAGAATGTCTGTTGAGTTTTCTAGTAAGAACTTTCCTCGTTTACCAAGGACAAAAGGTATTTTGATGACACTGTATAAGCAAAGGATGATTTTTGTAGGATGCATAAGCACATACAAAGGATGATTTTGTTGTTACATTTAGTCCAAGTTGAGATGTGGTTCACAAGTCTTCTTGCTCTTCACATTTAGCATCTTTGAGTCCTTGACTTACCATTCCTAAACCATTGCTTTAATATATTTCTGTGTTAATGTGAAACATCCTATTAAAAAGTGCTACACAAATCAGGGAGAAAATCATCATCAAAGGCTGATGGATGTAGACACAGTCTACAGAGGACTGCAGATATAGGAGTACTTGTGTGACAGTTTCCTGCATTTGCATATTTCCCATTTCCTGAAAACTCAATATAATGCAGGAAGACAATGCTTTTGGAGATGTTCACCACACACAAAACTATGCAAGGAACCTCAGTGTAGAATTTTTATACTTTTGGAGGTCACAGATCAACCACCATAAGCAAAAATATGTATTTTTTCATCTGTTGCTAAATGTGACCTCTCCGAGTTGACCTTTGGCACTGAAGATCTAACTTAAGCATAAGCGGGCCAGCGTGGATAGCACCAACTGCACTATCAGCTTATCTGTCTTTTGACAGACAAGGACTAATAAATAAGGTACGTCTGCCAAAATTCTGAGCTTAACGACATCCCTAAAAAGCCTTGTAATTCCAAACCCATAGGCCATTTTAGGGAACATCAGTATTCCAGAAACTCACCACAGCAGATCTTTCCAGATAAAGAACTCAGACATCAAGAAAGTCAAATCAACTTCTGAAAAGTCTCCTCCTCCTCAAGACAAGATTTACTACAGAGAACCAAGGAGAATGAGCAGAACGCTGCCTTTCCAGTCCTTGACAGCCAAGCTCCAGTTCCACAAAAGTTCGGAAAGCTGAAAGAATTGAGTTTCCCTGTTCTCTCTTTTTATTTTTTTTCCCTCTCCCATCATTGCCTGAAGCCTCATCTTTATTATTTTATTTCAGGGACAAAGCTTTCCCTTTTCTCTCTTTATTTTTTTCCTCTCCCATCATTGCCCCATCATCACTCCCATCACTCCCATCATTTCCACTCCCATCATTGTCTTTATTATTTTATTTCAGGGACAAAGGCATAGCTGAGTGTCTGCAGGTATGTAGATGCTCATAAAGGTAACAAAAAGAAAACATCAGAAAGACAATTTTAGCAGTTAAAATTGTGCTACATATGTTCCTATAAAGACTAAAGGATGCCTCATACCATTAAGAAAATTGTGGTAATCATCCATACCTAATAAGCAAAATTATTATATTTGAAGCACCTTCAATAACATTTCTATTGTATGACACCTGAGGGAGAAAGTTAGCATTCATGGACTCAAACCTAAGAAACTTTGTAATCAACACCAAGGTCCTGGCTCAGTCCTTCAATAATTTGATTTTTAATATTAAGCTACTTAACAAAATTGAAATTTTTAGATTTGATTGACGCTGGAAAAACTCTCTAGCTAGGATTTATAATCAGACAATATTTTATTAGAATTTATATAGAACGGGCCTGTCTAGTATTATTTTCATGACTGAACTCCAATCCAACTTTGAAACTCAGTTCTTGAGTTAGTGACTATCTCACTTACTAAATAATTTAGCTCTGAGGATATGTTGTGTTCAAACTCAGATAAAACCTAGAGAGAACAACAGGAAATCTTATAAAAATAATGCAAGGCCAGTACTTTTGAAGATTTGGGAATGACAACCAAAATGCCCAACTAGTTATCATTAGGAAATCAAAAGAGTCCTGAAAGGCCTAAGAAACACAAAAATAATATTTAGCAAAACAAAAAATTCATTTCCAAAAAAGAGTGTATGCAGATTTATAAAATTAATGCACCACAGGGAGTCATTCTGTTCATTTCGCACACATTTCCATTAGTTGTAGACAAAAAAAAAAAGAATAAAACAATGT